TTTCAAGCAAAATCTATATAGGGACCCACCTGTTTACTGTGCCTGGAGCTTTGCAACGTACCTGACGTTTCCTGGGAGTTGCTACATGAGCTGTCCCTTCAGGACACTAGGCCAGCCACACTTGCTGACATAACCTGGTTCATCAATATACTAGTACCTGCTTCCAAACCGCTTCAGAACCATTTCCCAACACTTTTGGCTTTCTGATGGAGAAGAGCATTGACACTAGGGATCTTTATGTGGAGAGAGTGCTTGGGGCTACTTTTGAATAACCAGGAGCTTTTCCACCACCAGGGAGAAAGCTGAGATGCCATTCCTGAATTTTGGTGCTTAAAAATCCTAACCTAATTCTAAATGAGAAAGACAAAGTGTGATTCCTATGGTGTTTGCCAGGAATACAATGCAGATAAATGGGAGTATGACTGGTTCTGTTTTGGGGAAATACAGTATGTAAATCACTGTGGACAAAGCAGTTATTGTTTTAAACTCAACTCTAGGCATGGATACCAAGGTCACTCTACCACATGGAACCAAGCTGGAGGAAGCAAAAAATATGGTTGAGACAAATAAACATAACTCCAGCAGATATGACATGAGAAATATTTAAAATTCAAAGGATGATTGCCCTAGCTGGTTTGACTCAGTAGATAGAGCATCAGCCTGCAGACTGATGGGTCCTGGGTTCAATTCCAGTCAAGGATACATGCCCGAAAGCAGCTGATCAATGATTCTCTTTCATCATTGATGTTTCTATCTCTCTCTCCCTCTCCCTTCCTCTCTGAAATCAAATATATATTTGAAAATTCAAAAGATAATGAAATGAGCATCTACCTAGAGTTTACCAGGTTACTGCTAATATTTTTATGATGAATGCTAGGATTTGGTTCCCCTTTGCATCTGGGGAGCAACCAGCTTTATAACAGCACACAGAAGAGAATGAAACATCCTGAGGTTGCTCAGTGAGATATGCAATCTTCCTGTTCCATCTCACAGGCTTCATTCCAGCTCAGGCTCACTACTAAGGACTCACAGGAGGGCTGCTCAGGCACTCCATGGTTGGGATGTGTACCCCTCAGCCAGCACTGAGGCTGTCAAGATCAGCTAGAATGTCTGTAATCTCTGTTGATATCTGCTGGCTGCTGAAGTATTCCCCAGAATCAAATTACAGGGCTAAGTGTGATCTCCCAAATAGTAATAAGGATATGGGAAATGTGAAGGTTGTTGGACAGTTAGTTACAGTTGGGAATATGTAAAAATGATTTTTTTTTTGTTGACTCTTCCACTCTAACTCTCCTCATATCTCCTAGCCTGCTAGCAAGTGTCTGGTAAAGTATAGCAATTTCCAATGAAAACATAGCTAGCTAGCTCTTTTCATGATTTGCTTGATTACACATGCATGTTGAAACCTCATTACCCATGTGATGGGATTTCCTTTGTGATGCTTGTTAAAATAATCAAAAGCAGACATATCACTAAATCATCACTCATTTTGATAAATGCTCCAAGGGACCTAATAAGATGCAGTGATGGTGAACCTACTAGAAAAGGGTGGATCAGACCTAAAGGAGGAGAAGGATCCAAGCATGCAAAGAGTGGGGGAAGAGCACATCAGGCAGAGGGAACAGATGTGCAAAGACTCCAAGGTGGGAGGTAGCTCTGAAGGGCTCAGCAGGAAGGGTGACGCAGAGTGAGTCAGGGAAGACTGACCTGGAAGAGCAGGCATGGAGAGCTTTTTAAGCTAGGGAGAGAGACTGTTAAAGTGAAATGGGAAGCTATGCAGGGATTTCAGTGAGGAAGATATGATGTGCATTATATCAGATTAGAGGCCCGGTGCATGAAATTCACACATGGGTAGGGTCCCTAGGCCTGGCCGGTGAACAGGGCCAATCTGTGGGGAGACCAGCAGGGTGATTCTGGGGGCCCCTGCTGGCACCCTCCTTGGCTGGCCTGGGGCCTGTGGGCTGGGGGAAGCTCCTGCATTGAGCGCTGCCCCCTGGTGGTCAGTGCACATCATAGCGACTGGTCGTTCGGTCATTCCACTGATCCTTCCACTGGTCGTTCTGCCATTCGGTTGATTTGCATATTAGGCTTTTATTTTATAGAGTAATGTGTAAAAACTAGCCTGAAGTGGGATAAAAGTGGAAAGGGAGGAACTACAGGGGTGGGCAAAAGTCGGTTTACAGTTGTTACTGTGGAAAAAATGTAATACAAGAATAAGTCTGTGTTTCATGTACTCACAATTGTAAACCTACTTTTGCCCACCCCTACATGTATGGCAGAAATTGAAACATGCGCTCCCATTAGCCACTGTCCCCTTCCTCCTTACTGTGAGAACTCAATTTTATTCTAGAGTGCAAAGGGTCCAGCCGAAGTAGGATATTTCCCATTTTCTTTGAAGGTGGTCAAGGCCACATGTAATAATTCTGCAGTTAGAAATGAGTCTGCTGAGGATCTTTGGGCAAGTTTTGCTTTCTTGATCTAAAGTTTTGAGATTCATATATGTGCGTGTGTGTGTGTGTGTGTGTGTGTGTGTGTGTGTGTGATGGCAGGAGCAGTAGCAGTCATCTTAGACAACCATCTAGGAAAAGCTAATCATATCATAGAAACTCAGGCTTGACAGCCTTGAACCACTGAACTGGTACCGACAAACACCAAAATCTGGATTTTACTCTGTGTGACAAGAAAAAACTCCATTTATGTAAGATACAATTGGGTCTGGTTTTCCGTTCCTCACAGGTTGACACAGTGTCTCACTGACACACCAGGCTATTATTGTGCCCAGGCAGCCTGCACTGCAGTGGCGGCAGTTAAAATGGAGAAACGTGGGCCTATTTGAAGGGGGGAGCATCGGGACTTCCTGATGGCCCAGATGTGGGCTTGTGGTGGGAGATGATGGGTGTAAAAGTTATAGGATTTTGGCTTGAGAATTTATAAAAATGGGATGGAAAACTCAGAAGAACAGGTTTGAAGATTAAAATCAAGAAGTCAATATTTGATATTTTCCAGTTCAGGCACCTTAGAGGTATTTATGAGAATGGTCTCCACTCCTGTGGTTTCCATGGGGTGGGATTTCCCTCCAGGACTCCTGGCCCTGCTCCAGCCCTTCATGTTCTCCTCAGCCAGGGGGTGCAGCAGCCGGCCTAGAGAGACACTCATTCCCCTTTGGTCCTCCACCTGCACCTACAGGTGCAGACTCCGGGGAAGAGGCCTGTGGCCAGATGCTCAGCCCTGTCAGGAAGCCCATTCTCCATTATTGCTGCAGATCTCAACCTTGTTTTCCAATTTGACTTTTCTCAGTAATAAAACGCTGAGGTCTGGATCTTCACACACTAGACTTCTTTGTCTGGCGCTCAGTGGTTTCAAGCCTAGGCCAGCTTATTTGTGTATCATGTTAGGCAGGCATGTCGTATTCTTCCAGCCACGATTGAAACCTTGTTTTAATGGGTGCTTCTTTCAGAAGATACTGCCAAAGAAAACTAAATTCCTCCCCTTTTCTAATACGTGGCTGCCTTGGTCTTCATTGTTAGAGTTAAGAGTTCAGACTTGCCCCCCAGGCAGGACTGTAAACTGCATAGGAATGAGAATTTATTTAGAATGGATGCCAGTGATCATCTATTGTTCAGGCATTTGGCTTCTTGCCTTAATTTTACAGGAATCGTATTATTAGAATTGTGTGGCTTTTCCCTCTCTCCCTTTTCTCCATTACTAATTCACCCTTCCCTTCCTCTACCCACTAATCCATTCTTTGCTTCCCTCCTTTGAAAGGTGGTATCAATACTAGTGTTCTTTATCCTACCCCTAGTGACCTTAACTTCAGGATTGCTGGACATTCACAGCTTGGTAAAGGGCCATTCCTCATGACTGGGGAATGTGGGGAAGCTTGTCTGATAGTGGCCTGTAGAAGACAGAATATGTAAAAAGACAGGTGTCCCAGGTTGGTCTCACATTTGTTATTTGGCCACTTATCAGAGTTTATGTTTGGGAGTTTCTTAGATAATATTTTACACTGCCACACAAATGGTCTTTTGACAACAAAGTTATATAAAACACTTCTACACATAAGATCCTGGTTTTTCTTGGCCCTTTCTCTCCCCATCCTAACAGATATATTATCTCTTGGGTTTACACTGATGAAAGAGGTGCTAGCCATTTTGGCACATTATATCACTGACAATAACACATTCCCAGAATGAATATGTAAATCACAGTCACCCTCCAGTGTGAGATCCTGCACCTGGTGTGGAATGGAGCATGGCATTGTTACCGTGCCATTCAGTGGCTTTTACCCAGCAAGGGAACATCGGCAGCTGTGATGCATTATGCCGCTGTGATGTTAACTACAGACACAGATAGAGTGCCCATAAAAATATACGCCCTTTTTTTTAATAGAGCCTTGGGCAATTACCCTGACTATTGTTCTATGAGAAAGCCCCATTTACACCCCTTCATCAATTTAGGACACAGACATGAAAAATCACCAGCATTAAGTAGTTAAGGCAATTTGCTTTCCAAATGAAGAAAGGACAAAAAAATAATACTGCAGAAAAATCTCTGCTCCTGAGTTGCCCAAGTTGACAGTCAAAAGCTCACCTCAAATAAAGGGTCCTGAGGAGGCGTTTTCTGATGGTACCTTCTTCCTAAACAGAGCCCAAGGGCAATGTGTTTAGGGTCTCTTCCTACTGTCAGCACTAGGAGGACATGTGGGGGGTGGACAGCCCACAGGTGTGGTGTGGACTGTGGTAGGTCTACCTGATGGCCGGGCTGGGTGTTCTGAGGAAAGGCTACAGAAACGTTGCTCACCTTGAGAAGTAAACTCTCAGGGCAGGTCCGTGTTCCTCCAAGTTGCCACAAAACATGAAATAGGTTATGAGGCTTGCCATTTGATATGGAGTAAGATGGGAAATTATTGAACTACTTACCCCCAAATGAAAAAAATAAAATGAATACAAAAGAAAAGGCAAAATCACAACACGACACATGGCCCCCAAAATCTTACTTACATTGAGTGAGAATTCCGGTTAAGGCATTTTTAAAATTCTCCTTGGCTTCCTCCATCTCTTGCTCATGGGTGGCCTTTTCATTCATTAGCCGGCGGACGTGGCTGTTGGCCGACTGCACCATGGAATAGAACTGGTTTGCAGAACGCCGATTCACTTCCCCTCGTTCAATCCAGGAAAGTAACACTGTGATAGCCTCTGAAAACTTGCTATCATCTGGAAACAGAAAACCACCAAGTACAAATCATGCCAAGGCAAGAAAATACAGTTCACATTGGTTCCCCTCGAAAGACAGAGCTTGACCCATCCTAATGGATTCATTTTCAGAATTTGACACATTAGTTTTCCTGAGACTAATCATTCTATCATCACTTAGCTTTCTGTTCCCATCTAACTCCCTGGCATCATAGATACAAGAAAGAAAGGGTCATTTTCACCCTCCTATCTACCAACTTGCTGAGCTCAGTGTTAGACCTGTTCTGGGCATTCCTTGTAATTACATACAATTTCATTCTTTCTCCAAACCCTGATTTCTCTTTCTGAAGTCTGGCTCAAAAATTGATAGTAACCTATATGGACTCCATTTCTTTATTCTTTGATCAGAAATAATTATACTGTGATACCAGTTTTTTGACTTATAGAATCAGCTGAGTTAGTGTCAAACTGAGGAAGACAGATTAAAGCACTATAAAACTGGTTGTAATATAATATATTGTTCCTGAGGTGGTAGTAGGAACAAGTCAATTCTTGTTCTACTACAGTTCAAAACTAATTTTATTTTAGGTATAGTATAACATACTTGAGTAGGCTGAAAAATAGAATATTTCCTTGTTTTCAACAAAAGAGGACCTTGGGTAGTCAGTATTTGCTTGGGAGGCTACTGAAAACCTATTTGAACCTGGTTTAAGGCATGTTTGTGGTCGAGGAGGGGGATAGGAGTGGGTAAATATGTAATAAAGTTTATTTCAAAGAAAAATGGATTTGCCTGTTTGGAATTGGTTACTGGAACAGACCTGTGTTGTATGGCTTGGAGGTGGAGAAAAAGCATGCTTGAAGGTGATTAAGTTAATTGGAACTGGAAGTTATATGTCAGTTATTACAACATTAATCAATCCTACCGCTGAAAGCTCATTCGCATTTTCCAGGTAAACTTAAAGGACGGAGTCTTTTGTTGGTATTTTTCTACCCCTGGAAAATGTGATTTAAGAAAAATATTCTACATTTTTCAAATAAACTGGGTAGAGTCTGAATTCTAAAAATAAGGAGCAAAATTAGAAGAGTCAGATTCTTACTCATTTGACAAATACTGAGTGCCTACTATGTGCCCTTCCCTGGAGGAACATCAGAGACATCCTTATGTATTGTGTGTGTGCTTGTATGTGTGTATGCGTAGATGCATGTAATATATATTACTATACAGAGTTTACATATTAGTTATAGTGTTTATACATACATATACACATATATACACACATACATATACACATATATACACATACAAACATCTATATTTATAAAAGCCTGGTTGACCAGTTGACTGGTCGCTATGACATGCACTGACCACCAGGGGGCAGACGCTCAAAGCAGGAGCTGCATCCTGGTGGTCAGTGTGCTCCCACAGCGAGAGCACCACTCAGCTGACCAACCCGTTCTGGAGGTCCACCAGCCTGGCGGCAGCCACTCACTCCCTCAGTAGACCTGCAGGTCTAATCTCCAGAGAACAGGCCAGTTACTGACGGACTGGTGCCATTGGCATGATCCTAACAGCACTGCTGGCCTCCTGGAAGTTGGCCTCGGGCACGTTGGCCCCTTCCCCTCCCTAGATGCTCCATAAGAAAGGAATGGTATAAAAGCACCTGCCAGGTGGCTCCCGACAACCAGCACAAATGTCAGCAGGATGGATCCAGATCCTGGGCCAGCAAGGGCATCCCACCGCCTGCCTGGAGGGCTGATCAAGTCCTGCCCTCCGCCCCTCTCGGGATGGGCGCCAGACACAGGGCCCACAGGCCACCCTGAGGACCCCACCCATGCAAAAATTTGTGCACCTGGCCTTTAGTAAACATATATACACTCCAGATGAATGGATAGAGGGTGATTCATATTTGCTAAGGGAATTTTATTTTACTACTAGTGGCCTGGTGCACGAAATTCGTGCACATTAAAAGGGAATTAATTAGAGGAAATATTTTAATATTGCTATTTGCCCTTTCTCTATAATAGAAGTATCAGAGATGAAAGAAAATTAGTAAAATGTATATGAAAATCTCCCTCCTGTCAGAGTCTGGGGCGCACCGTGGGACCTAGAGTCAAGACCCACCCACCACCCGCACACGCTTTGAAAACACAGGAGACCCAGACCCGGCCGGCCCCACGCCCATTGGGTGATACCCAGACCTGGCCGGCCCCACCCCTGTCAAGCTCCTCCGGGTGGGGGGCACAGCCTCAAGTCCCCCAGCCCAGTGCCGGGCGGGGGGTGCAGTCTCAGGTCCCCCAGCCTGGCACTAGGGCGAGGGCCATGGCCTGAGGTCCCCCATCAAGCCCTGCTGGGCAGGGGGCACAGCCTGAGGTCCTCTGGCCCAGCGCTGGGGCCGGGGGCAAGGCCTGAGATCCCTTGCCCCCGCCAGGCGCCTTGTAGCCTCAGGTCCCTGCTGTTTGGTCATGATGTTATGGCATCCCGGCTAATTTGCATATTCCTCTATTATATAGATAGATTTTATTTTATTACCTTATCTTATTCACAGATGTTTTGGAGTTAACCATTGTTATAATTTTACCCATCATACAAAACCTGCATTTGTGGAGTGCTTTGTGAATTTTGCAGAGTCCTGTAGAAATACTGTATCGTATTTTCACAGAGGCCCCTCCCAGACAAGGTACAGCTTCATTGCTGTGGCTGTGGCTGGGCCAGGAGGTATGCAACTGCATGAGGGTGGATCAGCCTAAGCAGTGCTTGTGGCGTGTGTTCTGCCTTTTCCAGGACAGAAGCAGCTATTACCCAGGCACTACTGACCAGCCACTCAGGCCTCCCCCGCTGTGCAGTGGCAGCCTGAGCTGGGGACCAAAGCTTTGTGTCTGTGCACACCTGCCCCTGCTGCCCTGGCACTTTTGCCAGAGGAGATAACTGGCTTGGGGAACGCCCACAGGGCACCCTGCAAGTGAAAGACTCACATTTTCTTGAAAATCTCAACCCGCAGGCACAGAACACACTTGTTCGGCATCATAGCTGGCTCACACAATTTTGTTAACTCTGGAATTTCTGTCTAAGTTCAACCCTCTGTGAACTTCAGCTGCAGTGATTTCTTATCTCATTTTGTGGACCTGAGCGGCTTGTACAAGATAAAATCCATCATACAACTTAACATTACATTCAGGCCATGGAGAGGCCCATAATTTAGCCTTATGTTTGTGAGAGACCCGCTGCAACTGTTACAGCCAGAATAAATTCTGCCTCCCTCACACTCTCTACCTCTCTCCCTGCCAATATATGTTAGGAGAATGGACCACCAAAAAGACAGCAGAAATAAAACTAATGCTCATAAGAAATCTTTTTTTTTTGGTCTCAAAAAATAAGAACAACAACAAAAAGAGGGCACGGGCTTCTTGTACCATTTTCCCCTTTGCCTGTGGCTTTCATTTCTATAGAACACAAAGGAAAAAAAACAAAAACCCTCAACCTGTTGTTAGAAGGAGCAACACTGTTCTATCTTTCCTTCCCTCGCAAACTGGTAGTTTTTCTCTCTTGCTTGTGGTCACTCAGCTCATAAATATCCTAATTTACTGTTAGGAAGAAAATATATGTTTACTTGAATTGTCTAAAAACCAAATTTTATTGTTCATCACTCCTAGTCCTAGAGCATAAGCTCACGAGCAGATTATTGTTAGCTGACAGTTTTTAGAAAGAGAGAAAACATTCTTAGGATTGTGCAAGTGCAAATATGCAATTTAAAAAGTAAGTAGGAAAGAGCTTTTCTAACATTTTAACAAATAATACTAGATAGAACTCCATTAGCTTAAAAGAAATACATAGGTTTGAAAACTCCCAATTTTCATCCTCATTTCTGAACTTTCTGAAACTGGCAGGCCAATGTATGATTGATATACTGACATTCCAAGACAATGTAAAAAACATTAGGTAGAGCACTATTGGTAACTCTAGTCAATATCTGTTGCCATGTAAGAAGTGATTTTGTATTGATCAAAACTAGGCCAGTAACTCTCTGAATGGCTACCGAGGAGTATGGGGAGTGGTCATTTTCAATTTTTAACTATTTTCAATATCTATCTATTTTCAATATCTAAATTCAATTCTGAGAAGCAGAAAACAATATAAACTAAACAGGATTTAGATTGCAGGATTATTAAAATTATTCCTGTGAAAAGAAATTAACAGTGTTCATAAAAATCACATCAGACACACTTATAAGAATTTCAAGTACTTCCTATGATCCTGTTTAGGCACACCTCTGAACATGGGTGCAGATGTGCTTTTTCCACAGTAAGAATTCGGAATATTGGTACAGTATTATGAAGTGACTATGGAGAATTTTCTCCTTAAAAACTGACCAACGTTTTGTAACCAGGGTCCTTACAATGTCACACCTGGCTTTACCTCCTAAGTTTTATTCCTTAATTTGCATTTTACCCTTCAGTCCATCCCACCATCTCTTTGTCACACTCCTCTTTGTTTGACGCCTGGCATGTCTCCCTGCTTTTGCACATGCTCTGCACTGGTCCTGGGCCCTCCCACTCTGGTCCACCTGCCTATTAGTCTTTGCTCCAGATTCAGCCTAAGTGCCTTTCATAAAAGAAGCTTTTCTGTAACCCTAGGATGAATTAGGTGCCCCTTTGCTATATTTCCACAGTTCTCTACATATCCTGCTATTAAAGTATCAGTCATTTTGTACAATAATTGTTGGTTTATGGATCTGTCTCCAGTTGTGAAAGGCGAATATCAGAATAAAACTTCCAGGAAAAATATGCCGTCTGCTGGTTACTCTGAGATTTTCCCTTGGAAATCTATCTAGAGGGAGGGGCAACAGTAGGTTTACAGCTGTTTGTATAATAATTAATAATGCAAGAATAAACTCTGTGTTTCATATACTCACAATTATAAACCTACTGTTGCTCCACCCTGTTTATTTCATTATACTCCACTTCTAATAGATTTGCAGTGATAAACAGTAGAAAGCTCCAAATTCAAAGTTGGGAAACATCAG